TTACGCGGGAGGGCGCACGAGCTGCGATTTCGAACGAAACGCGAGGAAGCTGTTGGATCGTGTCCTCCACGATGCGTCATGACCCGTGGCTAAGTCTGCGCTCGATCACGATCGGATCAGTACCAGCTGACCCGTTCGTCAGAATGCGGGTGTGCGTTTCGTCATTACGTTTTCCCGAGAGCTGCCTTTATTAACCAGTGGTTTACCAATCATCGCGAGTACGTCGTTGCGCGCTAACGCTGTACGATAAACGAGCGAGGGGTGCGATTCGCGGTGCCTGCAAGCACTGCCGTGAGGTAAATGCGTCATGCGTTTTACGACTACGAATGGAATGCAGTGCGTTGCGTCCGCGTTGGTGTGAGGGTCGGCGGTGTTTTCAAGGGACACGTTTACCCACGTGGAACGCGGTGCCAGTTTTCATGGTGATTCGGCAAACTCGTGTTCGAAACGGAATCGAGAGCCAACCAACTAACCGAGGCAAAAGACCAGGAGAAGTTTATAGTTTATACGACAGACGAGACGAGAAACGAGAGACGAGAGGACTTTAGTTCGGTCGACGACGTATCGGTGCGAACGGAGACAGGAAAACATCGTCGGACAGAGACAGGAAGCGGTGAGATCAGAACGGACGAGCGAGGGGGGAACGAGACGGGAAATAAAGAACCTCGCGTCCGTGTCGTTCGACCGCTAAAACACGTGGGGAGCGACGCGGGAATTCCTTGATAAACGAGACGCGTTCGCTAAATAGGGAACGATGCTATCCGCGTTTCAAATTCCTCGCTGTCCTATTTCAACGATTGATCCATTCCTGAGGTAAACTCTCGAGGTATACACGGCGTCCTGCCGTCGCACGGGTACGCGCTAAGCGGACGGAAGAACGGTGCTGCGCGCATACACACGCGAGCGCGCGTATAGGGTTTCATAGAGCGATGCGTGTTGCGGGTAGTCGTTTCGTCTCGTGGTGACGACGGTAGCCTGGAGTCTGGGGGCCCCTGTCGGTGACCGGACAACAAAACGGTCGAGGTCGGGGCCGAAGTCCTCCATGCAAAACGCACGCGCGCACCCCGCGCGCACCGATCGATGCGACATAACGAACGCCCCTGTGTATCAACCGTGGAACGTCCTGTTGTTCGATATCTGACGCGACGTTTTTCTCTCTTACGCTCGCCTCTGCCGCGTGACGTAATCCATTCAAGGCGCTTACTACGCAATACGGCCCAACGATCGCCTCTCCCGATCTCTCTCTCCCGGCCCTTCCTTTCCTCTACGAATATCCGGCGAAAACTCGAATTCGTTCAGAGACATTTGAATATCGACAGCTTTCGTTCGTCAAACACGCTTATATCCCGTGCCAATGTAAACAGGGTTATTTTAACTCGATTAACTGCGCCTCGTTTCGCTCCGACTTGTTCTCGAAAACGATTCGATTCAAACTATTTTTTAACACTAGAAAGACTGAAACTTAGTATATACCTATATTGCCCAAA